GTGTGTTCACTGTTCGCGCAATTTTCAAATCAATTTTGTTTACTTTTAATGCACACACACACACACACACACACACACACACACACACATTCACAGACAACAACTGCGACACACGCACCGCCACTTTTCTGTCCAACACCACAGCTCTCTAAACGCAAAGTGAGTTCGGGCCTGGTTGCACGTTGCCGTGTGTGTTTAACAACATTTTTATGGTTTGGCACACACCCTAAGCCAAGCGACAACAACAAAAAAAAGTCGTCAATGTTTGAAAAGTGCATCGGTAGGCGAGAGAAAGACAGACAGACAGGCAGGCGGACAGACTGACGGACTGACAGACAGACTGACAGACAGACTGACAGACATGCACATGCATATGCAAAGAGCAGCAGCAGCAGCAGCAGCTCTGTAACTGTAAATTACACATTTCATAAATTTCGCTACATATTTCGTGATAATCGCATGTAATTGCGTTTTATCTGCACCTTTCATCCGGACATGTGAGCAAACAAACGCGCTTAACGCAAAGCGCCCTTAAACAGCACGTTTTGGCCAACCCCTTGGCCAAAAAAAAAAAAGGCAAAAACTGACCACAGTAACTAGCAGAGAGTAAGCAGCCAGTTACCAGTTCCATTTGGCAGTCAGCAGGCAGGTTTGGTTGGGCTTTTTTGTTTTTGTGCCCAGGCGCGCTTCAATGGGCTTTGGCCATGTCCAGCGATTTACGGGCAGCGATAGCAAATTATACGAACATTTTCTTAATATTTTACAATAATACAATATTTGGGTTACAACAAAAGCCAACACACACGCAACTTGGCAACTTGGCAACTTGCTAACTTGTTTCAACCCCTCTCGCTAACCCACTCTTGTCTCTTGTAAATTGCATTAAAATGTGGCGACGGACAGCTTATGCATTTTTTCACAACTGCGTGTGTGAGTGTGTGTGTGTGTGTACGTTGTTGTGATAACAACTCACGCGATTATCAATTTGACACCCAAACATTGTGTTGTTCGTTGGCCGCTGGTCGCTGAGTCGCCTGACTGAGTGAATGACTCTGAGTATACTCGTAACTGGATGGCTGATCACGACATCGGGCCAACAACCACAAGAGCAACAACAGCAAAGCTGTCCGCGTGCTGACTACTGCAGAATAGCAGCAGCAGCAGTGGCAGCAGTAGCAGCAGCAGTAACAACAACAACAGTGACAGCGGGGATTAGGCAAATTTTGTGCAGTCTGCCCTCCTGCCACGTTAACAGCCTAATATAGCAGTTATGCACTAAGCAACATTTTTTTAAGGCTTAAAGGGTCGCAAGCCACACACAACAGCTCAAATACCCTGTACTAAATGCTTAAGAAACAAAATATGTACATAAATAAGCAATCAAATATATTTAATATCTGGCGCGATAAGGCTTAGTCAAATTGTAAAAACAGCGAAACTTTACATGTATTCCAAATTAAGCTGTATTTTTGTCGAGCTGGAAGACATATTCCAAATAACTCTCCTTTGAAAAAATTAATAACTAAAAATATATTTTATTGCTTTTTTTAGCTATTAATTTTATTATCTCATTTCCTCATTTCAATTTGTATCTATATATATTTTTTATGTTCGCCCATTTTGTCAATTTTTGCATAAAATTTATGTGAATTTTATTTAAAGATTATTCACGAAATATGTGTATGTACAAGCCCATGTTTTTTTGTGCTCGATGAGTTTTGTGAATTACCAATTTGCCTATCATTTTTTCTCGAACCAAACGAATTTCAAATAATTTTGAAAAAAACTAACTATGACACTCCGCTATATTACAATATACACACGACCTCTCAACTGTTTAGGTGTAATTATCTAACATACATATGTTTAGTTTCAGTTGCCAAATGCTACTTGACCAGCGTCGACATCATCGACAACTTTTACTTATCTACATAATTTGGTGAAGAAATTTGTTAAAAGCATTTTCAACACTTTTGAAAAGAAAATGTACTGACCGACAGCTACACCGGCAACAAAAACATGAGGCTTAATTATGCTGTCACAGGGGCCGAAAGAAAAAAAATAAAAAGACTTTCATCTTTCATCAACGGACAAGATATAAGGCCCAAGTTTACAAGAAGAAAAAAAATACGAATATATATTTCATCGCTTAATTCCGTATGACATGACATGTTGACGGAGGGGCGAAAAGTCCGTGTATTGGGGCAATGTTCGAGTGGCATTCAAATGCATTTTTCATCAACTACATACATCAGCTTTCAAGCGTTTAAAAACAACAATTGGCTCGTTTGAGCACTGAGTTGCTTTGTGCTTCACACTTCTGCTACCTGCTCTTCTTCTAGCGGCTTCAGTGTTGAGTAATGATTTTAACGAAATGCATTCGAAAAATAATTTAAAGGCGTTGCTCAGCCGTTGGCTATGAATGTCAATTCGAATTAAAATCACTTTTTTATATACCACATATACGTGTGCATATGTAAATATGAATATGGAGCAATCGATTCGCAGCTGGAAATTCATTTTAAATAATTGAAAACGAGAGGCTGGCACTAAAGGATTAAGCCTGTGCAAGCAATTTGCGCAGGCGCTTTCAGCTGATGTCATTTATTGTATTAAAAAAAAAAAAATGTGAAAAAAATGCATAAAAGGCCGAAAAAAACAAAAGCCAGCCATGCTGCGGCCAACCGCAGAGTTATTATTTAAATGTGCATTACACACAAACACACACACACACAGAGACACATTAAATTAACACACAGATGCCTGTCGTTAAAAAATCGACAGTTGGCTGGCCATATACCCAGTGCCAGTCCCAGTGCCAGTCGCAGTCCCTCTTCCTGTCCCTATCCTTCATACGACATGTTGTCATCGTCATCAACCCTTTTTCTGGTGTCCTGGCTGCGGCGGCGTCATAATTAATAAGAGAAATCCCTTTTCAATTTGACGGAGTGCATTTGTCATTGCATTTAATTTGCAGAGTACGCGGCCGAATACGGCAAAGAGGATGTCCGGAAGTAGTCGCTGTCGTTGTAGAGTGCGGTTGGTCCCCGGGTTTCGTCTGGATCAGCGTCTGGTGTCAAGTAGGGGCTGTCCTATAACCGTTTTGGTGTTCACACGAAACATATTTAAATGCATAGCGCTTGAGTAGGCAGCGAAATCAACAGCAGAGGTAGAGAAAGAGAGAGAGAGCGGAAGAGTGAGAAATGGGGGGAGATAGAGAGAGAGACAGAGAGAGAGAGAGAAGAGTTAGGGCATCCGCAGAGAAATGCATTAATTGATTTTTATATTTTTCGGTGAAAATAAATGGACTTACAGGGGTTAAAACTGTTCTTTAAGACCCCTAATGCTCGGTCCAAAGCTAATGTCTGTTGGCTTCTAGAAACGTAACAAGGAGTAACTAGGTAAATTACGGTTATCCCTCACTGCATGTTAGGAGGCCTAATATCAATAAAGTTGATTTGAGAAATTGTTATAAAAAAACGTGACATGTTCACACTCTTGTAAGATAAATTGTAAAATAAATAAGTTGAAAAATATCTAAGTGACTAACATTTTTCGGTATTAAATATCATTATACACATAATATATATTATTATATTATTATGAAATAATTGTTCCGAATGACAAAGGCTCACTGAATGAATATATTTCATTAGCTTACAATTAAGATTGAATCTATCCAGTTTATGAAGTCTGTTTTAATGCAAAATCGATTTCTTTATCTACGTTGCACAGTCGAAAAGCAAATACGAGCTCATTTTAGTTGCTGTTTCTACTAGAATCTCAATGAAAATACCCCACCTCCACCCCTTAGCCCAAAGGCAAACTTCTGTTGCCATAGGCCTTAGTTCTGTTTAATGTTGCATTTGCCCAAGGGCAATGGTAATCACTGGCCCAGGCACAATCCGTTTGGGGCAGCGTTACTTTGCCGCCCACAATCGATGCACCCACTGCCTTTTGACGGAAGCGGATGCAGTCAGTCGAGAAGCCGTTTCTCACTTTTATTGACGCATCTCCCTGGACGATGTTGTTTGTATTTTAAATTGGCAGCGCGCTTAGCACATCCGCCAGCGTAAAACGCGAAGAAAGATCGATGCATGTGAAGATGGGGATGTGGATGTCGATGTCGAAGTGGATATGGATGTGAATGTGATTGGCGAACCAGTGTGAGCTTTACGAATCACGCTTACGGGCCAATAATTGATTGCCTTACCGTTAGGCAGCTGCTCAAAATGCGCAAGCGGCAGCAGGTGAACGGGCCAATCTCCCAAACCCGACCGCCGGCCACTTTGCACAGATGAGATTTTCAATTTGACTAGGGCCGCCCCGAATGTTTGCGTATTAAATTTGCATGGAAATCTGTCTATATTGACCGAGAATGGCCAATGCAAATGTTTGTCGGGCCAAATGAATGGCCGAGAACGAAGAGACAGCGGCAACTGCTGTTGCTGCTGCTGCTGTTCCTGTTGGTCAGTCAACGGCCAGCGGCCATTGCACCCGGCAATGCCATCGCCGTTGCTGTTGCGACTCGATGATGCCTCTTTGGGCATTTTTAATACGCGTTTCCATTTGCGTTTGCCAAATGTTATCAGTGGAACGACAGCGGCTTGCGCCAGTCTCCCAGTCTCCTGTCTCCAGTCCCAGCCCCAGTCCCAGCTCCAGTCCCAGTGCAATGCCCCCCAATGGTCCGCAGCGATTGCTGTTATCGATGAGCCTACGCTATCAGTGGGGTACAGTTGAGCCCAATGCCCGTGACTGTGAATGTAGTCAAACTCACACTCACACTCGTGCCCGTAATTGTGATTCTCACTCTGACTCTGACTCTGAATGTGACTGTGCTCTGCACTTAGAATGAATGCAAAAACAAACATTTAACTTGAGTAACATTTGTTGCACGTTCAATTCTCTTTCTTTTTTTTTTTATCGCAGCAAATAGTCGGGCGAGTCAGTTGCGCAGTTGATAAAATGCCAGAACAGCCTGCGAATGGATGTGTCTGGTTAGATGTGGGCACATATGCCATTCAGCGGACACCGGACAGTGGACAGCGGACACCGGACAGTGGACAGTGCACGGAGGACAGTGGACAGTGCAATGCCGTCATGTCATCAAGCGTCAGACTGTGCACAAACAGTTTCAAATTAATTATTTGCCACTGCAAATTAAAATGAAGTCATTAAGTCGGACGACTGGATAGCTGGCTGACTGGCTGGCGGACTAGGTAAAAGATGTAGCTGGTCAATGGGCATGCGGATGGAGCAGTTAATTAAGCCAGCTTCGTTCTTGGTCAGATTCATGCCGTCACTCGACTAGCGTTTATGCCGTAACTAAGCATGCTTCACACTGAAATTCGAATATTTTAGTAAATTTCATAATATTCATTTAGATTCAAGTTCAACCCACACTCTGCCCTTACATTTTTTCAAAAGACGGAACATTTGTAAAGTTAGTAACATTTTATATGAATATATTGCATTACAAGCGAATAAAATTAGAATCTTATTAACTCCAAATTCCAAATCGATTTACCATGTGGATATTACGTTTACGTAACGAGATGACAAGCTATTGTTCAACTGAATTGAAAAACTGGACTCGTGAGACTAAACGTTGGGAAAGCTTAGGAAAGGCAATGATTGGCATATTAGCCAAACTGCCTATGCGCAATGTAAGTGAATGGATATGACATGTATATGTATATTATATATGTAACTATATAGCTCTATACACAGAACTCTCAGCCAGAATTCGTGCGTCTTTACACAAGTGCACCGAGTGACCTGTAATGCAGTCAAAACCTATGTGTATTTCAAAATAAACATGTTGACATTAATGCCCCCATCAGGGTATTTTGTCCCGGTATGTGAATAACAAAGACTTTTTTAATCATATCGAAGATAGCTAAGGCGTCACAGTGTATAGGGTATCTGTGCCGATTAGACTCCGTTTTTGTAGTTCTTTTCAGTTGACAATAGGAACCATCTTGTGATTTCTATGGTATATTTTGAGCTATTGACAATACCATAAGGCTACAGCTAGAACAATTGGGCTGAGCCTAGCTTTATTGTGCCCGTTCTGTGCTTCAAAACCTTTGGATCGAATTACAATATCTTACGACAGTCATGAGGCATTTAATAAATACTTAGTAATGCATTATGGCGACATTGTTTTTCGCACAGCCTTAAAGAATCGTTGTTGTTGTTTTTTAGTTGGAGCTAATTGTGTTATCAAAGAACGTGTTTAATGATCTTTAGACTTGTTGCAGCTGAATGCCATTAAACAATAGAAATGGCCGAGGGTTGCATTTGCTTCCTTGTTGACCCCAGAATTTGAACCCCAACACGTGCTTATCAATATTGCGGCTCATTGTTCGTGACACATTTGACAATTGCGAGTGACACTCGCACATAAGCACAATATTTATTCATTTTTATTTCTATTTATTTAAATTGATGACTTAATGGCAAACTGAAATGATTTCATTGCTGTCACAATTGCAATCATTAAACAAAACCCAACAATGAGGAATTAAAGCAACAACGCACTAAATGGGGAGCTGCGACTGTGCAGCCCACACTCTGATAAGAGCATTTTGTAATTGAGCCAACAACACCAGCAACAACAACAACAATAACAACAATAATTGAATAGCGCAAACATATTCATTGGCCAAAATGAAAGCCCTGGAAAACAGCACGGGGCATACCAAAGGGGGCTCTCTCTTGAAAACCCAACAAAAACCTAACAAAAACCCAATGAAACAAAACAAAACAAACAAGCGAACAATAAATCAACAATGAAATTTGTTTTCGGTAAATGCATCAAATGCAATTGGCTTAATTTTGCGTTATATACGATATCATATTTTGTGGAGAACGCCAACACACACTCTCCCACACACACACACACGCAAACACACTCACAATAATTTTCATGGTCGTACTTGTGAATGGAATATTTATGCCAAAAAGTGCACACTGTCATGCAAAATTAGGGTTTGCTCGCCAAGAGCTTTATTTAATCAAATAAATTAAAATAATTTGTGTTTTTAAGAGTTATATATTTCAAAAATGTGGAATCTCTTTTAATAATAGGTTTCAAGCTGAAGTTACGAGAAATTAGGCAAGTATTCCGTCAGACTTTAATCTATTTGGAACTCAAGAACTAACTAACTAACTAATAAACATTTACTTAAAGGCACTGACTTAAATTGGGTTTAAAAAGTAGCCAAAAAAAAAAAATCCTGGTGAGTATCTTCTATCAGCTGTAGACTCCAATTTAAGAAACTTCTGTAAACTATCTTAGCTAAGATAATAGTGTTAAAAAATTTATGCTAGCCAGTGCAATTTTCACGAAAGTATTTCTAAATTTAGCGTTATAACCGCACAATTTTGCGATGAGCAATTAAATTTTGTGTTTTCGCGTTTTGAGTGTGAACGGTCGTCGACGGGGGAGTGTGGGTTGTGGGGTATAACCATACGCAAAACAAAATCATTTCAAAGCCCACAGCCCACAAACGCAGCAGCGAAAATCAAGCAGCCCTTCACAGCCGGGCTTATTACCCTCCCCACACCCACTGACCGAAAAGAGTTAACCCCAAAAACAACAAGAGTCGAGGGAACGATGACGATGACTGACTAACGGACGATTGGACAAGTGAAAGACTGGACAGAAGGGTACAATTCAATTACATGTTTGTGGCAAGCCGCAATGCTCAATAATGCAGTTAATATTGACGGTCGGCCGGGGGGGCGGGTTGAGGGCGTGCCACGTGGGAGCTGGCAAGTTTGACAAGGCTGATGAAATACCGGAATAACGTCTCTGTCTCTCTCTCTCTCTCTCTCGGTCTGCCTATGTCTGTCTGTCCGTCAGTCTGTCCGGCTGCCTGTCTGTTTGTCTGCCACACGGTCTGCTGCATCTAATTCAATTTTCAAAACCCAAAATTCTGTTGACCAAACTGCGATGTGATGCGTTAGCCGGAAGAGGTTGCCTGGCCCAAGGAGAGGGCGGTTCGCTCTCGACCAAAGTGTTTATAAGTTTTTAGCCAATGTTGTTGTTGTTGTCGTTCCCGTTGCTGCTGTTGTTGCTGTTGCGGCTGCTGTGGCTGCTGTGGCTGTGGCTGTGTCCATGTTGTGGTCCGAAATGGAATTTTGTTAGCTAATTGAATTTTAGTTGCAACTCATTTGCCATGCACAGGCCGATCCAGCGTCCGGGCTGAGGCAGGGGTGTGATGGGGCTTGGCTTTGGCCATTTAATTGCTGTTTTAATTTTACTAGCAACAACAGCAGCAAATCAAGAGCTTCGCGCTGCCGTTGTTGTTTTTATTGTTGTTGTTGCTTTCGATGAAGGTAGCACAAAAAATCAACAACATTTAAAATCGCATAAAGTTAATTAATGCAAGAAAAAAACCACCCACGGGGCAATTGCAAAACACTCGATACTGCGCCTTGGCGTTGCGGGGCGGGCAAAAGCAACATCCACATGCAAAATTCACAACTGTTGCTTTTTCTGCGCAAAACGAGTTGCTAACACAGAATACGGCTAAATATACATTTTTTATAGATTTATTCTTTTGAGTGGGCATCTTTTTCGCCTTAGGTACTATTAACTTTGGATTCTTTTCATCATTCTTCTAAGTATACGTATTGAAAAAGTGGAAACAATTGCCAAGACACGATCAAGGAGTACCATGATTTCCTTAGATCAGTGCAAAAAGTTTTTTGAGCTTGGATTTGAGCGTGGATTTCTCAGAATCACTGAAATATCTAATCAGTAATTTAATTGGGGCTCAAAGTTTGTATATTCGAAAGTTTAGCTTTCTTTTCTTTGCTTATTGTAAAGAATTGAACACGTGCATTGACGGTTTGGAAAGTGCAGTTCACGTGCGAAACAGACTTCAAACACACTAAAAAAAAAGAAATAGTAAATTTTACTTGGCCCTATTAAAGCCGAGTAAAACCATCTAAAAATTTTTTATTATAACTACTAAGCAATATTTAAATAGAACAATTCCATTCTATTCATATGTCAAAACAGCTCGTATAATAATGTACCCCCAGCATACCCCTTTAATTCTGGCTTGTTCTTGGCGTAGTCAAATCGAAAAAAATTGATTTAAATACGCGTGACATGCGCATGACTTCTGCACTCGGCGCGCGCCGCTAAAAAATCGAAAGCAAAAAGCGCACAAGCCAAGGAAACGTTTGCCCGCCCCTCCCGCGCACACACCACACACGCCACACACACCACACACACACCACACACACATACCACACACACACATACACCCACACGCAGTCAGTCAGTCATCAAAGCTTGGTTCGCCCTCTTTTGGTTTTTAGGTTTTGCCGTTTCGTTTCTGTTGTGCATTCTCCCGTACGAATATCGTGTGATTATTTTGGTTTTATATTATACCCTGTAGCCATTAATAACAAGTAAAACAGGTATGATGGTTCTGTTTAACTGGATGATACAGGCGAGGAGAAGCACCCTCAACCCTATGAGTTGTACACATTCTTGATCACGACGGGAAGCTGAATCGATCTAACCTTCGGTCTAGCCGCCCGTCAGCTTGCGTCAGCTGGAGAATTGAAATAATTATATTCTCATATATTATAAGAGGAAAAAAGTTATCTATTATGGGATAGATCTTTCATTTCATTTCATTAATGCAGATATAAGACATAAGAATAATAAATTAAATAATTACAGTAATTGCATTTTTAAAAGCCTGGAACTTCTGGCGCCTGTTATCCCGAATAACAAATATTTTACTCTTTGGATACTTGCTCCTAATACTTCCCACTAAAAAACGTTCAATTAAGGAATATACATCGTAAATTTAATAAAAATCGTACCAGTTATAAAAAACGTAACGATTCAAGAATTTATCTGCCAGAGTGTGGGGCTTTGGCATAAATAAGCTTGGATGCTGAATAATTTGTATGCAAATGTGTTTTTGTGCACTTTTCTGATAGCCTACGCTATGTGCAGGGTATCTGATAGTCGACCATTCTTTGCTAAGCAATCTTGTTTTTATTTTTTTCGCTGGACTCGCGCTGTGCGAATGATTCATGCTGTGATTTCCTGCACAGCCTCAAAACGTGGCCTGAGCTTTGGCTTTGGCCAACAACTAACAGAAACCGAGTTGACGTGACTATGACATGACGCGGCTAATGTTGTTGTTGTTGCTGTTGTTGTTGTTGTTATTGGTATTGCTGATGTTGTTGGTGCTCGCTTGGGCATTATTATGTGCAATTGCCCGTTTGCTGTTGCTGTTGCTGGTCGTTCTAGTTGATATTGCTGATTGCCATTGTCTGCCGAAAAAGCAGCAGAAAAATAAATGTATAAAAACGCAGCACAGCTTCGTCCGCTTTCAGCAGCAACAGCAACAACAGCCATCGCTCCGTCTACGTCTCTGTCTGATTGTGTTGCTCGCTTTGATTGAAGCCTTTCACTCCATGCAAGGCAATTGTCGTTACTCTGTGCTGCAGTTGTGAATGTTGTTGTTGTTACCGCTGCTGTCTGCTTTTAGTTTTGTAGTTTTATTATTGAAATTACCAGCAGTGGCAGCCGCAGCAGCAACATCAGAAATAACAGCGTCAGTTCTTTAGCTACTAAACATAACTTAGCGTCTATGAAACAATTAACGAAATGCACTAGCAACAACAACAGCAGCAAAAGCAACAGTAACAACAGCAGAAATTGATGTCAATATAATGGCAAAATAATGGCATAGCTCCCCTGTCCGTAAGCCTCAGATCTCTTAAGGCTATTGATGACGCTGATTGCGGACTGGCAGCAACACGTTGCTGCTGCTTTGACGTTTCAAAATGATTGCAACGAATTACACACAACAGCTTTAGCTGCAATTCT